TTGAAAAATAAAGTTAAAATTCATTAATTTTTTTTTGCTTCTTTTTTAATACAATGAAAATGTTTTGATATGTTTTAATTACTTATGAAATGCAAAAAAAAAAAAAAAAAAAAAACATAATAATTATGATAAACCAACGATAGTGCTGTTAAAATATTTTTCGCTACTCACAAAGTTACTTTCCTTCAAGGACTATGCCGGTTTCGCAGGCATACAAAAGAAGCAAATCAAAGTGCATACAGTTATATGCGTAAATACTACAAAAACACAAGCATATTTGGATACGCAAATGCATATTGCATGCTTTTTAAGCTAAAATGTTAATGAAAGGCGAGCGCAAAGCCGTGATTATGTAAGCATCACCTTTCTATACTCCTTTCAATTATTATTGAATTTTTTTTACAAACACACACACATATGTACATGCATCCATGCGATGKCGATGTATGCTAATTATAAGCTACTATTTTACGCGTAATATTAATTGCTTTTGTTTATCTATAAATTTAAACATACATACATACATACACTTAAATATATAAAAATAAATAAATGAATTTGTAAATGCTTGTAGTCGTAAAAGTCAGTTTGTAAGCTCGAAATTATAAGTTTTTGTATTACATACACATAGATATACATACATACTATATATATTTCATGAAAATATTTTTATTTGCCATTTTGTAAGAGCCATTTCAGGGTTAAGCACTACTTGATTACAATAATAAATAATTATACATGCTAAGTGTATGGCAAAATATGGCAAGGTTTGACTTTCTGTTATTTTTTATTTTCTTACAGAGATGTCTGGGAAGGTTAATTTTAACTTTTAAGCGATATTTTTTTTTTACTTTTTTATTCATACAAGTAAGGCCTGGTTAGAAATTTGAAAAGAATTGCACTGCTAAATTTTGATTGGTTAAAAAGTTTTAATTAATTTAGTTTTTTCAAATACCTCTTGTCTTGAAGGTCTACTATCAATATTTATCTGGTATTAGTATTATCTAAGTCACATATATTATTTGTACATCTTCTTCAYGTTTGGATTTTGATATTATTGTTATTATTGAGACCTGGCTTAGTTCTAGTTACTATGATAGTAAGTATGTCGACTCAAGATGCATTTTTGCCTTCCATAAGGGTAGAAATTCCGAAAAAGCTGACTATCTTTGAGGAGTGGTGTCCTTCTAGCAGTTGATCGCAAATTTCCTCCTCATTCAATATTGCTTATCAATGATGATTTTATTATGGACCAACTTTGTCAAATCTAGAAAAGCGTATTCGGCCATTCCTTCCAGTTTACGCTGGAGTGATAATTCGGCATGCACTCTTGTAGAAATTTCTAACCTCTTTGCTGAACTCTTCAAATCAAATTATGTACATGATGAGCTTGGAATTACTTCTACTTTTCCCGCTAATATTTTTTTATCTTCAAATTTTGGCACACTGTGTCGTTTGCAGGATGATATTGAAAAATATATTTGTGATATCAAGCCTTCTTTCTAAATTAATCTTGATGAGCTGCCATCTGTACTTACAAAAAATTGTCCTGCCTTTGTTTATCCCCACAAGTTTCTCTTCAATAACGCTCTGTTATCTGTTCTGTTATCATTTTATTTCAGACTGAAAATTGACATTCATTACCTCTCTCCGTATAGGAGGTAGACAGGAGGTAGTTTCCAATCGCAGGCCTACATTTAAATTCCACCATTTCCTAAATTTTTGAATGCTCTGCTAAAAATAAGTTATGTTTTTTTTTATTTTTATAGTTAAATCAATCATTAATCAGCATGGGTTTGCCTTTGGTCGCAATACCGCATAAAATGTAGCTGTTTTTAGTAATTATTGCATGTCGATTTAGCAAAGTCTCGCAATCCTTGATCAGTCTGTATATACGCGATATCGAAATCCAATCCAATCAAGCAGCTGCTCATTCGTCGGTATCGCCGATATTAGACTACTATAGCATGTAGCTACCAGCACAAACACTTTAGCTTGTTTGGAAAAAAATTTCATTTAACGAGATTTATTTAAGAATTTGGTATGTGATATTGGCCTAGTCAATAGTGCAATCTCCAAAGAAATTATTCTGTTCGGTTGAATATAGCATACAGCTAGCATATAATTGCTTCGAGTTAAATGGTTCTATGGGACTTGGCGCTAAATTGAAATTAAGAAATTGTTCAAATCGACTACCGCATAAAGTATGGATGTAGGGTCCCCTTAAGCAATGCACCGAGGTTTGTATTTGGACAGAGACTGTATTTTCATCGTTATTTATTAAGAGTATTATATACATAATATAACCTAATAGGTTGTCAAAAAAGTTTTGCCGTATTTTTGCGGTATTTTTATTGAATTTTCAAATGTTCATAAAATTTTTTTTGATGACTCATGCCTAGCTCTTAACCGATGCTACGGCTGCTACTATGCCGGTCTCTTTCGACCAATTCAGCGATTTTGTCGCAATTTTCGACGACCGACCTTCCGGAACGTGGCGCATTTTCAACCACCTCTACACCAGAACGAACGAAAACGTTGAAACCACCGTTGTGCGGTGGAAATGGAAACTGTATCGGGTCCATAAACTGCACAAATTTTATTGGCAGCTTGGGAATGCATTTTTGCTTTTATCGCGCGTGAAATGAGCTTTCCAAAAAGTATAGCATGACCCGATACGACGAATAAAACTAGAACTAAGCGCTCTCASCGCCAACTAACGAAAATACCGCAAGACTTTTTTGACATTTAGTGCTTATACAGTAGTTATTCGTCTCTTAGCAAGAGTTGATGACTGCTAGAATATGTGAGAGCGATAATTGGATAAATTATGGTGTTACAGTGTGATCTATGAGTATACCAGTACATAGTATTGTTGTTATTTTTGTTGCTGTATCAACATGAAAAATTCGCCAGGCATGTTAACACAATGTTGTGGAGTTGCAGGAAATTTTTCAGAAGAAAACGGCGTTGGAGAAATCTTTTCTATATAATATCGAGTAGCTAATTTTATTATTCAAGAATTTACGAAAAAAATGAAATAAAAATCAATAGAAATAAGTACCTATGTTTGTTATTCTTGTCGATAGAATTAAAACCTACGAATCTGCACTTCATTCAGCAAAAATTTATTATTATTATTATTATTATTATTATTATTATTTATTATTTACTTATTATTATTATTATTTATTATTTACTACAATTGAAACTACAATAAATGTGKAAAAACTCCAGCATAAATTTATATYCAATTATTAATCGRAATAGTGCCTTGTGCAGTCAAATTTTATGCTTCCTCTGCTACTCTCCAAAACACACACAGACACACTCGCAAACACATGCACGCAAATGCAAAATCACTGTTCTTCCACACACAAGTGTTAAAAGAACACTTTAATACTAAGAAATTTTTATAGCTTGCAACATGTAGTGCATTGCTGCAACATTTTAATTAAATTTGTAAGAGCTTGTAACGTTATCTCTGTTGCATTGTATCAAACACCTGCT